CGTTATTTCTTTTTTGTTATATATTACTAACTCTATTAATTATCTGATAGGAAACTCAACTGCGAATTTTTAAGAACGGTACAAATATCACACATTATGAAAAGAGTTTGTTCCGTTCCAAAGACACTTGGTGTCGATGGACATGTCCAAGAATCAACAATGGCATATGGAACTCGTGTTCATGATTTCACTTGGACGATCGATCGGGGCACAATTGTTGAAACAATAGAAGAGGTTACCCCCGAACCACCATTTTTGTCACCAATACACTAAAAGTTACATCATTACACAGTTTCGACTATTAAGCTATATGCTTTGAGTTCGGTATCACTCAACATTTTTTTATACTATACTTGGCACACATATTACCCATTTTCCGTAGCTATTCTAACTTATTAACAACTCCTCACTAACTGCATGATGTTTTTCCCTCGTAGCCCTCCATCGTAAGATTCAAATGGAAGCAAAATTCAAAATTTCATCATCATTGATTATCAGTAAGTACAATTTTACTGTCTAACCATGTAAATCAATCAATATTTGATAGAAAAACTCAACAAACCAACTTTATGTTTGTAGCTATATACCATCTATTTTATCTTCAGTTTATAGATTATAACTAGTCATTCAGTTCTGTTGAATAATCATACCATAATGAGTTTGCGTGAAAATTTTTTCTTCACATTGAAGATGTATGACATTATGCACAGATAAAAAGTTATACGATATATAACATATAATTCAATATATTATGAAACAATATGTTATAACCATTCAAAGAGAGTAATTAGCAAACCATTTTTCATCATTTTTATCATTTAAAACATATTTCATATTGGACTAAATCATCACTTAAGTTTGTTCTCTTTATTTTCATTAAGATTTAAGTAATATAACTAGACATGCCCTTGGAGTTTACAAGTTTTATCGAATAGTTGATCGATTGATTGATATGTTATGAGTATCACATTTAGCTGAACCCAAATATTCTACTATCATGGCATAGTTATGGTAACTATTTGGATTATATGGCTGGACATACTTAGTTGCAGGATATACCAAGTCTTTACTTAAGGAATCGTTCTTGTGCAAAGGTAGCTGGTAATGTTGTGATTACTGAAATTTTTCAGCAATATTTAACTTCGTGTCTCCTGAAGGGACACAAATAAAAAGAACAAAATTAGGAGACACGATGAAGGCAATTGCAGCTTCTTTAGATGGAGAAAGACTGAAAGGTATTCTCTTCACAACTTATTTGTACTTGATTCATACTACCATCGAATGCAAATACACATTCAGTCGTTTATGTAGTTTTAATACCCTTAAAAGTATTGCTTGTTAATTAGAATCCTGATCTAACTCTAATTAACCAAACTATATTCATTTGTCATTCTATTTCTCCAATAATTGATACCTTCCAATGTTGATGGCGTAAAAATTTGTTGTCTACTTCTTCAAATTTCATAGGTACAACCCAAAATGATTATACATATTTTCATCTCACATGCTGTCTTTAATTATGAAATACTCCATTCATTAACAAATTTTAGAATTGTTGATGAAGTGATCCATTTACTATACTAAATTGTTTCTTAAATAATCCAATCACTTTTAAGTTGTACTAAATTCATTTTTCCTCTTCTTTCATAGGTAATTTTATCTAGAGTTGCCCAACTTTGAAAAGCAGTCAAAAGGAAGCATTATGTAAATATAATAGGATGTAAATATCTAAATAATACAACCATAAAAACAAATTAAACATTGTCAACTATATTTACAATATCTAGCGATCTCTATGTATCTATCTATGTCCATATAAACATTTAGCCAGCTCATACATTTCTATATGTTTAGATCCAAGTAACAAAAAATTTCCAACGGTAGCACGGGCCACCTCTATCTAGTATTAATAGAAAAAAAAAATAAGGTGGACTACAATTTGGGAATGTTGTGTCAATAAATTTTTTAAATATTTTTTTGAATGTTTATCATTGTATAAAATGAATTTCATTGCGTAGATTTTTTTTTTGGCTATGATAAAATCCTAATGCATAATTTTTCTTTCTGATATGGTGTCCTCACTTCAATCTTTTCGTGCTATATTACATTTTTTGATAAGTTTTCTTAAGTTTTCATTGTATTTGTCCTTTTCTTTTCCTACAAAGGTTGTTTCTGGTTGAACGGTAAAAAAAGATTTTAACAGTAGAATATAAATTTAGGATTATCATTTTATTTCTATGTTAAATCAAAATATTATAAATTATTTACTTAATTAAATATTAAATAGTAATTCATTCTATATGCTACATTAAATATTAAAAATCTAAAAATGTTATGTAATTAGTTGAAAGACAAAATATTCATTAAAAAGTATTCGGGCATCTCTACTCTTTAAAGGATAAATAGTTCCATTTTTTTAAATATTTTTCTTTACACTAAAAACTAAATCATTTTATTATGAGACAATTGTGTTAAATCAATATATAAAGACCATAATGACTACGAAAGATTGAATGATTATTTTAATCTCTATGTGTAAATTATTCCTTCATTTTACTGAAGTAATGCTGATCGAAAGATGGAAGATCGTGCAATGTTTCACTGATAATAATGTAGACAAATTACTTGGTGCATCTTTAATTGCACTATTATTTTGAATGATAATTATAGTCATTGTATTCTTTTTTTTCATCGATATAAGGAAAAATGTATTTATCTTTGATAACTTATACTATCAAATTACTTATTTTTATCCATATAAATTCATCTTTATTTGTTTGATGATGACCCATTATTCTTTTCATTCTATAGTTTAAGTAGTGTACCTCTTATATTATTATTTCTCTACTTCATTTATACTTTTGGTAAATAAAGACGATTTTTTAATTGTAATTTCTTGTGGGAGAAGTGCCAACAAAAAGTCAAAAAATATATAGTGATTATATATTTCTTTTTCCATATGCGTATTGTTCTGATTAAAGTCATAAAGTCATAAAAACGATGTGTATGTTGTTGCATTTTTTCCCTTTGTTTATTTTGTTTATATGTTTTCTCTCTATTAAATTTTTTCAATTTGATTTTCTCTAAATTTATGATTGTTCGAAGTGTATCTTTATTTAGGCTAAAATTAATCTTTAGTGATTATAATACAAATTGGCTAATTACTATCTAAAGTTTTAAATTTACCGTTTGTTGCTTAAAATAAATTTTAAAAATTAAAATAAGATCCCTCATTTGATGTTCCTTGTAACAATTTTAAAAGTTTATTTGTAATTTTTGCATCTTATTATTCGTTACATGCATGTGCACGTAGAATTCTAATTATTCTAATGAATGCATAAAAATTAGCATGTGATACACGTGCAATTCTAGTGTCTTTAATCTAGTATATGTATAAAAGCACATGAAACTTTCAAGTGAGAAGAAAACGTTGGACATTATTGGCGCGATAAAGGCTGCTAGACACGGGCTGATAATGTATCTATGAGCACAAATCTGAATTGGGGCAGATGAATGGATTCATATAACAACTCCAAGTGGGCTCCCGAGTGTACATGTACAAATAAAAAAAACAATTGACAAATATTATTAGCACACATGGTTTACTAAAGAAAGGATAATCAATAGTTTTACAACTTTAATCCTATCACCACGATAAACTAGTACAGTTTGCTAACAAAGTAAAAGATAAACACTTACCAAAGGGAATACTATAACTAACATATTAATGGATTCTCATTCCATTATTATCATCTATTTTATGGGAAAAGTTCCATGGTATCCAAGAATATCAATATGCACAAACTTCATATGGTGAAAATGATAGATAAAATTAATACATAACACCTACCATTGTTGTCACATAGGAAATACTCTATTAGCTAGTAACATGATAATATTTCAATCCTCTTAAGCACACATCATGAAAACATAAAATAATTGTACCCATACTGATCAAAATTTGAGGATAAACTTTTTATAAAAAGTTGAAACAGAGCATGAGTTGACAACTTAAAATTAAATAGATCTATGTAAAAGTACAATGTGGGTCAAATACTTAGAGAACAATCAGGATAAATGCACTATCAAGAGCAAAGTTCATAAAATGTTGTACGACGCTAAAACGATGAATAACTTACACTATAAATAGAGGGACTAAGTTCAACTAAACCTGATGCAGCGTATTATGAATTAATATAAAATTCTTTTTGTCACAATGGAAAGAAGAATAAATATTTTAAAGTATCCAAATTTAACCATGTTGACAAATTCAAGATGGGTTAGGATTTAAAAATAAAACAACTATAATTGAAAATGTAACACCTCTGAAATGACTTAGGTGAAACTAGATGCTAATACTTTGTTCATGATGTTTTAAAGTCTTAAAATGACTTATAATGATGTTATTAGGCAGTGTCTGAAGTTTGGTGAAGTTTGGAGGTCAAAGGTCCAAGAACATCCATGACGTTAGAAAGTTTTGCCTTAAAATGTCCTTGTGTGACTTAGTGTGTCTTCGAATGTTTTATGTATTTTTTTAATTAAAATTGATATGAGAGGTTTCTAACATGTATATGAGTGTATTTGTGGTGGAAATTCCGGTCAAAACTCCTTGAGAAACGACCAATGGGTGTTTGAAGAGGACCCAACCCTTGGGCTAACAAGCTGCCCAAGGCAGCCACATTTTGTTTATGGATCAAGTAGGTCTGCATTGAGGACTACGGGGTCTTTGGTCTAAAAATTTGGTCCACATCACGGACACAACGCGAACTCAACGGTCTCTAAGGTGGGAGAGGATCCCCAATAGTTTGTTGATGGTGTGTATAAGGTGTTGAGTGACATGGGGTTGACTTCTAGAGAGAAGGTGGAGTTAACTTCGTACCAATTGAGAGGCATTTCTCAAGTATATTACACTCAATAGAAATATAACAGGCCGGTTGATTCGGGTCATATAGAGTGGGAAGAGTTTAAGGAGGCTTTCCTAGAGAAGTAGTTGCCTCGTTAGAGGAAAGAGGTGAATGTTGAAGAGTTCATTAACCTTAAGAAAGGAAATATGAGTGTTGAGGAGTATTCCATAAATTTTACTATGTTGTCTTGATATTCTCTATCCTTAGTGTCTAACCCTAGGGATGGGATGAGTAGGTTTGTGACCGGTGTTGCCGACCTTGTGAAAGAAGAATGTTGTTCGACTATTCTCCACAATGACATGAACTTGTCTAGGATTATGGTGTACGGTCAATCCATTGAAGAGTCCAAACATAGTAGGATTTCAAGGTATTTGAAAATGTGTGGATCCAATGAGCAAAACCAATCTAGGTTTTAGAGGAGGGCTCCAAATCATGATGGACCTAGTGATCCTAATGTCAAACTTGAGAAGGGTAGTGGATCTCAAAATGGTAAGCCTACTTGTGTTACTTGTGGGAAGAAGCACTATGGGAAATGTCTAGTTTGTACCGGGAATTGCTTTGGTTATCATCGTAAGGATGGGCATAAGGCGAGGGATTGTCCTAATGTTGCATCTAGAGGGGGAAGAGCTAAGCAAGATCCTCCCAGTGTTCCAGAAGGTGGTGATCCAAGGAATCACTTCTATGGACTCTTGGCTAGAGGATCATAGTCGGAGGATGATGAGGATATTGGTAAGTTCTTGTATTTCTCTGTTTAGTTTTATGATTTCCTTTTAAGTGGGGGAGCATGATCTCTTCTCTTCTTTTCAACTCAAGCTTGTGAGTTATAATGTCATAGTAGCATGGTACATGTTGTTTAGTAATCCTGTTGAAATTGAATTTTATTGATTCCTTTCATTGTGCATTTTATGAAATTATAGTTATGTTGTAAAATGAGTTCATATGTTTTTATCTCTTATATTTTCATGCTTTCAGTATACATTGATTAAGGGTTGCATTCTTTTTTTAAAAAAATTTCAGTATGATTCACTGTATTGTTCTGGCGTTGTTATGTTTTTGGAAATTTTACTAAATTGTTCTTTTGTGGAAAATTGTCTAAATCTGTTTAAAATTGATGTATATAAGAATTATAATGTATGGAGAAGGAGTTCCTCCTATTTTAATTGAATAATTTGAGTATTGAAGCATAATGAGTTGTAGATTAGTTCTTTTCTCTTTTTGTGTTTTGAGTCTCTTAAGTATGTGAAATTGGTGTTCTTTCTAAGTATATGTATTGTATAATGCGTGGTATGAATATGTGCTGCTAGTATTTCATTTTATTATCTCTTGATAGTGTCTAAACTGAAGAAAGTGTCATTCGAGGACGCTTGTTGTCCAAGTGGGGGAGAATGTAATACCCCTAAAATGACTTAGGTGAAACTAGAGCCTATCACTCGTGTCATGAGGTGTTAAAGTCCTAAATTTTTTATAATAATGTTGTTAGGAAGCGTCTAAAATTTTTTGAAGATTGGAGGTCAAACGTCAAAGAACATCCATGACGTTCAAAAGTTTTGCCTTGAAACGCGCTCGTGTGTTACTTAGTGTGTCTTGACATGTTTGATGTGTTTTTTTGAGTTCAAATTTACATGAGAGCTTCCTTACATGTATACGAGAGTATTTGAGGTGTAAATGTCCGGTCCGAATTCCCCAAGGACCGAGCAAAGGGTCCTTGAGGAGGACCCAAGGTTTGGGTTAAAATGCTGCCCAAGGCAGTCAAGTTTTTTTCATGGATCAAGTACGTCTGCGTCGCGGACTAGGGGATTCCTTTATCCAAAAATTGGTCCGCGTTGTGTTTTTTCGAAATTTATTTTCAAATATCTTGCAGGAGCATCTCCGCCTCCCGGACTTGTTTCCGAATGATGATTCCGAAAATGTAAGTTTAGTTTGACTTGGTTAAAAGGTCCTATAAGTTCAGGGGTCTTTTAGGTATTTTAGGGATTAGTATTGGATATTCTTATACCATTTTAAACCCCAATTCACACTTCAAATCAAAACCCTCAAGTCCAA